TGCGACAATCTGTGAGTGAAGCGAAGATTTTGATAGACAACCTAGCAGCAAGTGATAGCATGATTCAACCAAGCTACGATGAAACCGTCAAGGCAATCAACATAGATCCGACAGAACTTAAGGAGATCAAGGTGATGGTTTCCCAAATTCTAAAGAATACTATGAGACCTAAAGCACATGAAGGAGTGACAGTCCCTCATGAAGACGTTGATCAAGATTTCGTTGGAGATTCTTCAGCATGTGATCTAAGGGAAGTAAGCTACATAGGCTCTCGATACAAAAATCTTGGGACAAGGAGTCACGGCCCCCATTACGGTCCTAAGGAACGTTTTTATACTCATCAAAACGTGCCTCACGAGACCAATATCCAACCGAAGCAACAGTTTGCTAATGGAGATCAAAAACAGCATTCGAGTGGTTTCCAAGGCGTTGAGTCAAGAGNGATTTCGGAAAAAGATTTTGAGCCCTTGATAAATGGGTTTCACTATGAACTCAACAAGTTCAGAAAGAAAATTCGTACTAGGATGGATATATTGGGACATGACATTAACAACAAGATATAAAAAACAATAGGATGGATATATTGGGACATGACATTAACAACAAGTCTACCTCATCGTCTCGATGTTACCACATCAAATCTAGTGAAATCCTCTCACCTCGGTTCAACATCACGAGCTAAGGCCATTGGATTCAACTTGCCAAAACCGATAACAACTTGCCTCCTTCCTTAGAAAAAACAGGGAGTGGATACGTATACTCAGATATTCCCATCTTTATAATAGACTCTATGTCTAATTAAAACAATTAAAAAAAAAAAGATCTTCGAATCACATCTTTACGGATTACTAAAACCTTAACAAAACATGCATCTTTTTCACATCCTTTATGGATTACTAATGCTTTCACATATCAGGCATTTTACTCACATCCTTAACGAATTACTAAAATCTTAATAAAACAGACATCTCATTTCACTCCTGTTACTACTGGCCACGGTAACAAACTCTTCCATATACTTCAGATCTGACTATTACATCCTTAGCAGGATTACAAAGTGCGATGTACAAATATATATGTTCATTATAAGAGCGGATGCGTTTATGGAAACGTGTCTGTGAACCAAAATATTCATTCTAAACCCGACAATCAAACCATTGGTCGCCTCGCTAGAAAATATTTACTATTGGAGCGGGTATTTTTATGGTAACATAGCCGTAAACCAAGTGTTTGTTCTAAACCCAACAACTGAATCGTTGGTCTTTACGCGAGAACATGTTCATTTTTTGAGCATACGTGTCAATGGCGACTCGGCCGTAAACCAGATTGATCATCTGAAAATCCAACAGAATAATTGTTGGTCTCATCGAAAAAGCATGTCCATTTTTGGAGCGAGCGTGTCAATGGTGACTCGCTCATAAATCGAATTGATAATCTCAAAACCCAATAGACAAGTTTTTGGTTTCTTTGAAAATGCATGTTCATTCTTGGAGCAGACGTGTCAACGACTACTCGCCCGTAAATTAAAAATGTTTACATTGAAATCCGACAAACATATCGTTGGAGTTAAACTCCAAAACATGCTCATTTTCGGAACGGGGTTGTGAAGGACGACTCATCAAAATTGATCATCCAAAACTTGGGAACAAACCATACTTTCGAAACTTATTCATTTTTTTACCGGGTTTGTCAACGGCGACTCTCTCGTAAATCAAAGTGATCATCAAAATACCAGCAAAAAGATAAGTTCTAAACAAAATGACTTCGCCGCCTCGTCAAGATTCTCATTAATCAATACATCAAAAGAGATTTGGTTCGCCGCGTTTTCAATTTCAGGAACTAGATGAAGTCGTGGACTCAAAGAGGTGGATTTTTCGAATACCGTCTCAAATTACCACCTCGTCGTCAACAGCAGTCCACCTCAGCATCAACACGAGTCCACCTTAGTGTCGTCAACACGAGTCCACTTCGGCGTCGAGTCAACACGACTCCACCATGCTATCAAATCAACAAGTCCTCCTCGTTATCCTTCTTCGCGAAGACAACATGTTGACTCTCGCGATCACAAAACGACCTCGTCACAACAATGACTTGTCGTCTCGGCGGTACCTCGTCTCTTTCATCTCGTCGCCACGGATTCACCTTGTCGCCGAGTCTGTGTCACCTTGTCGCCAAGTCCATGTCACCTCGTCGCCTAGTCCGTGTCACCTCGTTTCCTAGTCCGTGTCACTTCGTCACTAAGTCTGTGTCACCTCGTCGCCAAGTCTCTCTCACATTGTCGAGGAATCTGTGTCACTTCGTCGCCGAATCTGTGTCACTTCGTTGCCGAATCTGTGTCACCTCAGCTCTCCTGCCTCGCCGCCGAGTCTTTCTCGCCTCGTCGTCGAGTCCGTGTCATCTCATCGCAGCAACAATCAGCTCGCCGACATTCACCTTGTCTTTGATCTCGTCACATCATCTCACCACCTTGTCTCACTCCACCTTGTCTTCCCAACTTCACCTCGCTGTCAGAGATCTAGACGATGACCTCTCCGCTTAGTCTCGAACTTCACTTCTCCGCTTCATCTCCTCACCTCGGCAAAACGCCTCACCTCATCAAACTCTAACTCTGTTTCGCTCAAGCCGTCCTCGGTCTCGCCGTTACGGTCGACTGGCATACTCGAAGTTGGATGTGGGGGAACTCGGTGGCGCAAAGGGGGAGAACAAAAATAAATGCTAAGTTTGGAGACATGGTGGGCCAAGGTCAAAACACTTTGATATCATTCAACGTTGGCCAAGGTGGCATTAAAATTGAGCTCGGTTAACGTAATCAACTGAGCTCGAGTAGATGCAGTCACTCGAATCATATCACAGGCTTCGCGAAGTCACCAGGATTGAGCTTGACTTAACTTTGATCTTACCCTTGCAATAATTCTCACCTCGGCACTATCACACTTGATACTACCGAGCTATGGGCTAACTGTAGGGGTTCGATTCTACCCCGATAAGATCAAACAAGAAAAAAGTTAAGTATGGAAAACTGGGTTAGAAATGACTGGGTGAACCTAGTAAGCCCATGTTCGACGAGCTGTTTAATCCGGCGAGACAGATTGCACGACGGAGCTGTCGAAATGGCAAGATTAGAGCGGTAAGCCCGGTGAGTCGAGAATCAGGACGTAACGGCAAAGCAAAGTCCATAATGGAGAGATAGGCTCGCAGAAGCATGTAGCCCACGACGAGGTACAGCCCATGACACGATGATGCACAGAAACTTTGATGCGTGCAGGGTTTAGATGCATATGCAAGTTTTAAATTTATAACCCTATGAA